ATAAATAAAAAAAATTTTTTTTAAAACAAAGATAGAGCTGGGGACTTAGCTCAGCGGCACCAGCACATGGTCCTGATTTTGATCCCCGTTACCACAAAAAAAAAAAAGAAACAAACAAATAAATGGTTGTGTATTATAGCATGTGGTAGGGGTCTGGGGGTTTTTTGGTTTGTTTGTTTTGGCAGTACTAATGATTGAACTGTGGGCTTTGTGCATGCTAGGCAGGCACTCTAAAAACTAAGCTACATTTCTAGCCATTTTATTCATTTATTTATTTATTTATTTTTGGTACAGGACTCAAACTCAGGACCTTATGCTTGTGAGGCAGGCAGTGGAACCGCTTAGCTAAATCCCCGGCCCTCTACCCATTTTATTTTGAGGCAGGGTCTCCCTAAGTTGTCCAAGTTGGTCTCCAACTTGAGATTCTCCTAGCCCAACCTGAATAACTGAGATTACAGGCATGTGCCGCCATGCCTAGCTTAAGAATGTGAATTTCAGAGAGGTTGGAACTTGGATAAGGGGCAGTGGAAGGTAATCTCCAGTGGTTAAGGGGTTGATGGGCTGGATTTATCAAGTCCAATCAGTTTTATAGAAAGTTTCTGCATTTGTATACACACACACCCATATATACCAAAGGGATTGAACCTAGGCCCTTTGCACTGAGTTACATCCCCAGAACTTTTCTTACTTTTTATTTTGAGTCACGGTCTCACTGAGTTGAACTTGTCATCCTCCTGTCTCAGCCTTCCAGGGTGCTAAGATTACAAAGTGCACTAAATGTGTTTATTATAATTAAAATAATTTTTTATTGACAGTTTTTACTTTTTGATTACAGGTAAGCAAGTGAGAACAAAACTTTCACAGGCATTTAATCATTGGCTGAAAGTTCCAGAAGACAAACTACAGGTATTTAGATATTTTTTTTTCCCTAGTACTGGAATTGAACTCAGGGCTTTCACACTGAGGTATGTCCTCAGCTGATTTTTGTTTTTTACTTTTAGAGTCTTGCTAAGTTGCTCAGTCTGGGCTCGTTCTTGTGATCCTCTTACCTCAGCTTCCCAGAGTGCTCAGATTACAGGCATGGGCCACTGTGCCCAGCTGCCAATGCTAATCTTAGAATTAATCCCAAAGAAATTAATATATATCGCATAAAAATACTCTTAGCTCTTGATTCATTGTAATGCTCATAAAATGTATTATTTTATATTGAATTTGTAAATATTAGTTGTAAGAATTTAAAACACTTGAAACTTTCAGAATCACTTAATATCATTAAGGATAAACTGTTTTGAATAGTTCAAGTAAAATAAAATTTTTTGTTCTTTTCTTTTTAGATTATCATCGAAGTGACAGAAATGTTGCATAATGCCAGTTTACTCATTGATGATATTGAGGATAATTCAAAACTCCGACGTGGCTTTCCTGTAGCACACAGCATCTACGGGATTCCATCTGTCATCAATTCTGCCAATTATGTTTATTTCCTTGGCTTAGAGAAAGTCTTAACCCTTGACCACCCAGATGCAGTGAAGCTTTTTACCTGCCAGCTTTTGGAACTCCACCAGGGACAAGGCCTAGATATTTACTGGAGGGATAATTACATTTGTCCCACTGAAGAAAGAATATAAAACCATGGTGCTGCAGAAGACAGGTGGACTGTTTGGATTAGCAGTAGGTCTCATGCAGTTGTTCTCTGACTACAAAGAAGATTTAAAACCACTGCTTAATACACTTGGGCTCTTTTTCCAAATTAGAGATGATTATGCCAATCTCCACTCCAAAGAATATAGTGAAAACAAAAGTTTTTGTGAAGATCTGACGGAAGGAAAGTTCTCATTTCCTACTATTCATGCTATTCGGTCGAGACCTGAAAGCACCCAGGTGCAGAACATCTTGCACCAGAGAACAGAAAACATAGATATTAAAAAATACTGTGTCCAGTATCTTGAGGATGTAGGTTCTTTTGAATATACTCGGAATACTCTTAGAGAGCTAGAATCTGAAGCCTATAAACAAATTGAGGCATGTGGTGGAAACCCTGAGCTAGTAGCTTTAGTAAGGCACTTAGGTAAGATGTTCAAAGAAGAAAATTAATAATAAGCCATTCTTGATTGGTACATACAGCTTCCTTTGGTGGTTTTTGTTTTTGTTTGTTTTGTTTGTACCAGGGATCGAACTCAGGTCCTTGTGTTTTCGAGGCAAGCGGCGGAACCACTGAGCTAAATCCCCAGCCCTCTTTAGTTGTTTTTTGTCTTTTAACCTATCAGCTTTTCACAAATTTGAACTAAACTGTTAATCTCCAAAAAATGAGAAAAGAGGAGTGAGATGAATGAAACTGTTTCAGTGTAGAAACCTATCCATACATATACTACAAAGTCGAAAGAACCAAGAGGAGCTACATTTATAGAGGTCTAATTTAAATGTCAGAACTTCTTGCAGCAGGTCATTGTGACCAACTGTGACCTACTACAATAAATGTTCTGTTGATCTTGTCAATATAAAAGATTTTAGCTTCCAGGAATTTTTAATCTAAATACTTCCTACTACATGGGCTGTTCCTAATCATCTCTAGTTTCAAACTAGTGACTGCATGGGACTAG